AAACCAAACCAAACCAAACCAAACCAAACCAAACCAAACCAAACCAACCCAACCCAACCCAACCCAAACCAACCCAACCCAAACCAACCCAACCCAACCCAACCCAACCCAAACCAACCCAACCCAAACCAACCCAACCCAAACCAACCCAACCCAAACCAACCCAACCCAAACCAACCCAACCCAAACCAAACCAACCCAAACCAAATTGAAACCAAACCAAGTAAAACAAGAGTGATAGTTCTAAGAGGGGCGTAGAGACCACAGCTCTGAGCTGTCTCAGTGCCACGAAAGTAGAGTTAGTGTCCAACCAAGAGGTGTGAGGAGGTAAGACTTAGGTTAGTTCATTTGAAAAATGTGCCTGTTTCTTCTTCGGTGGGTGACATCAAGAAAACCATACAATTTATAGGCCTTATTCCACATCTGTCTCAGGGATGATGATACAAACCTCTGAACTGAAATGTCTTCTCTGTGGATAAATGGCAACCCTGTTTTATATAGCTGTTTCTAAGGGTTGATAACATGTGGCTCACTGTGTTGAAGCACATTTTTAAGTGGGGTAGTAACATCTTAAATTTAAATACTAATAGTGCAAGCTTAAACAAGTCATAGCATATCTCTGGGCCTCAATTTCCCCATTTTGAGAGCATTAGAGTAAATGATCATTTATGTTGGCCAGGGTACTATCTGGAGACAGAAACCATACCAACTATTTAAAGGGAAAATGAACATAAGTGATTCTTATCCTGGCATTAAAAAGCAGAAGGGCTTTCAGGTAGCAAAGTAACCACGGAGCAGCAACTGCTGGAAGCAACTGCCACCCATAGGGCTGGGAACAGAGGGAGGAGGGAGTCTGTCAAAGACTGGAAAAGGTGACCCATTCCTCTTAGCATTGCTGGGTACTGGGAAGGGTCAAGGCTGGGGTTGAGAAAACTGCCAATAGAATTCTTATGCTGAAGGAGCACTGCTTATGGCCCAAGCAGAGAAGAAGTGTGGAGCCATGTGACCTGCATGAGAAACAGAAGTGCAACCCTACACACCAGCCCTGCCCTCCTCCAGAAACACCTTAGGGAAGCATCTGACAGGAGAAATGGGATGGTCAAGGGTGGACTCTGAACCAGGACACAATTGCTTGACAAATGAAATCATCTCAGAGGGTCCCCTCAGGTCAGAGTCTGAGTCAGCATCTGTACACCATACAGAGAAGAACTGGGTCCATCTGTGGACTCCTGGAAAGCTAGCATGCTGTGGGCTTAAACTTTGGGGTCAGGTAGATCTGGGTTGGGATCCTGTCTGTGTCTTTTCCTAGCTGTGAGATACTAGGTGATTACTTTGAATTTCTCTGAGCCTCACTGTCTACTTTATAAAATGATGATACTGACATCTCTCTCAATGGGTTGTTACAACAAGTAAGACAACACACAAAAAGTGCCAGGTAGGGTCTGGTGCATACATAACAGCCATTGCTATCCTTAGGGATACTTGCTCAGGGAGTATTTGTGGATTTACTTGTTTCCTTTATTGATTGCACAAATGTTTGCCTCTGTTTTGTTTTTTTCAGTTACATAAAGCTCTGTGGACTCAAACTGGGAGCTTGGGCAGTGGTCAAGGAGAACCCTGCCAGCTAGCAAATGAGCTGCCTCCTTGGGGTTCAGTGGGCTGACTCTGAGTGTCTGCTCAGTACAGAGCAGGGGCAAACTTTTACTGCCATGTTACATTTACACCACAGTGGTAGACACCTTTGGATGCCTTTCCAAACAGAAACAAGAAATTGGTTTTCTTTTTTTTTATTGGATAATTTATTTATTTATTTATTTATTTTTAATTTTTTTTATTGGATGTTTTATTTACATTTCATATGTTGTCCCCTTACCCCATCCCCCACCCACCCAGGAATCCCCATCCTCTTACCCCTCCTCCTTCTTCTCTGTGGATGTAACCCCTACCTACACCCCCACTCCCACCTCCCCACCCTCAAAATTCCCACCCCCTGGGGCATCCAGCCTTCATGAGGTCAAGGATCTCTTCTTCCACCTATGCCCAGCAGGGTCCTCCACTCTTATGTATTCAGCTGAAGCCCTGGATCCCTCCCTAAGTGCTCCCAGGCTGGTGGTTTAGACCCTGGGAGCTGTGGTTGGTTGGTATTGTTGCTCTCCTCATGGGGCCACAAACCCTTTCAGCTCCAATGGTTTCACTATGACTCCTCCATTGGGAACCCCATTATCAGTTAAATGGCTAGTTGTGAGCATCTGCCTCTGAATATGTCAGACTCTTGAAGACCTCTGAGGAGACATCCATATCAGGCTCTTATCAGCATGCACTTCCTGTCTTCCACATCAGCATCTACCTTTGGTGACTGCACATGGGATGGATACTCAGGTGGAATGGTCTTCAGACGGCCCCTCCTTCAGTTTCTGTCCCTCACTTTGTCTCCATACTTGCTCCCTTGAGTATTTTGTTGCTTCTTCTAAGAAGGACTGAATCACCCCCACTGATATTTTATTTATTTACATTTCAGATGTTATCCCCTTTCCCCACTCCACCCCCAATTAACCCCCATCCCATCCCTCCTCCCCCTTTTTTGCTTTTATGCTGTTTAAATTACATGCAAGTATTAAGGTCAGTTCTAGGTTGAAGAGCTAGCAATACAATAGATGTAAATAGTCCAGGAACAAGCAAGACAATAAACCCAGATAGTCAAAGAACAAGCAGAACAATAAACAGAGTCCTGTGATCATTCCCGTGATCATTGTTTCTAAGGGCTTATCAGGATGACCAAAATATCTAAGCCTACTTCTCTGTCCTAGCCCAAAGTCATTTTCATGCCTGAAGCCTACTTCATTGTTCTAGCTTAAGATTTAGATTCCTGCCTGTAATTACTTCTTTGTTCTAGCCTAGGATTTAGATTCCTATCTGAAATTAATTGGTTGTTCTAGCCTAAGGTCAGATTCCTGCCTGCAGACCATTTCCTTGTTCCTTGGCCAATGTCAGATTCCTGCCAGGCTGCCCCAAAAGCTCTCCACATCTCCCCCCCCCCTTTTTTTTTTAAAGATTTATTTATTTATTATATATGAATACACTGTAGCTGTCTTCAGACACACCAGAAGAGGGCATCAGATCTCATTACAGATGGTTGTGAGCCACCATGTGGTTGCTGGGATTTGAACTCAGGACCTCTGGAAGTGCAGTCAGTGCTCTTAACCACTGAGCCATCTCTCCAGCCCCTCCCCCCTTTTTTTTTATTACATAAACTAGACTGAGCCTGTCTTAGATGGTTCTGACAAGTATGCCTTCCTTACCCATCTTGGAATATGCATTATCAAAAGCAATGCACTTGTGTCTTAGGTTGGTACGGCACTGTGCAGAATCTTACTCATCCTTGGCTTGCCAGCCTGTTAAATTAATAACTCTGTCTGGGGGTCCATTTTCAGTTTCAAGTCATGTACTTTGGCTTCCAACACGATGATGTTGTTAGAGACAAGCTTTAACATGATGGGCAGGAATAAAAGTATTCCCAGAACAAAAAGGACTAGCAAGAAATTGGTGTTCTAAGGAGAGATTTTATAAATTAGGGGAATCACTTAGAATCTTTTCCTTCTATTCAGCTTAGTTTATACCCCTGTGATTTTTCTGCATGGGTCCTAGAAATAATAGTGAAACATGGACCCTTCATGTATTAGTAATTTATGTTTATTGGGAGACTACCAATATGCACTGTTGGTGATTTTTAAATCATCCAAAGTAAATTTCAGTTTCCCAGTACAGCCTAGGAGGAAACTGAGGCACAGAGCTATTACATAACCTTTCCCAGAGTTGAACAGTATCAATGAGAGCCAGAATTAGAACCTAAATATGTTGTGTCCTAAGTCATTCTGTCCATGTTCAGCTAGGTTTATACCAATACAAGATAAACACAGTGTAGACTTGATGATGTTCTTTTGGCTCACACAATGGTAGATTATCTAGTGGTTCCTTCTAACTTTACATTAAAATAAAAATAAAAATAGATCAATTATTGAAGAAGAAGTCTATATAACTAAACATGTCTGTCTCCCACCAACCTTGCTTTTGTAGTAAAACAGTTCTGTTAAAAGGTACATATTCAAATGCTTTCTCTTTAAATTTCAGAGTGGGGTTTCAATTGTCATCTCACACATGATGGTTAAGCTATGCCTACACCCAGAAGCTCCTGCATACCCCATCACCGTTCATCTCCTTCAATCGCTTGTGTAAGTCGGTTTCCTTTACTGGATTGAATATTGCAGATAGCAACTTATAAAGAAGAGAGGTTTACTTTGGTCCATGGTTTTGGAGGGTTCTGGCATGGCTGGTTGGCCCTGTTCCTTTTGGGTTTGTGATTTGGCAGGGAACACATGGGAGAACACACTGCTCACTTTGAGGCTGGGCATGAAGAGAAAGAGGAAGGATCGAGGTCCCACAGTGCCCCTTAAGGACAGGTCTCCCATGATGAAACACTCCCATGATGTTTCCTCCAATCTGAAAGTTTCCATTACTGCCCAGTGGGGTCACTCAGGGCCAAGCCCCAGACACATGGATCATTTGAGGGACAGTTAGATCCTCACAGACCTTTAGTTAGAGCTTAGCCTACTAAATTCTGCTCCATGTGAGAAAAGCTTCTGAAAATACAGATTTCCAAAATGGTAGGAATGGCAGAGTGGGGTTGAGGAAAATAACTCAGAGACTACCCTTGCTTCATACAAATGAGTAGCAACATTAAACAAAGGGGCACTATAAGGGTCTCATTCCCTTATTGCCCATTTCTTATCTCAGAGGCCTCAGTAGCCTCTACATAGTAGCAAAGGCATTCCAAATTTCCTCTGAAAAAAGTTAGCAGATAAGTGTATCCAGGGACAGTTATATTTTTAGAAGATGAGAACAAAATGGACTACTTTTATAGTTTGTTATTAAAATAATAGAAAATGAAAATATTAAAAGAATGTGGGGCTAGGGAAAAAAGATTTGCAGAATAGAGTTAGAAGAAGTAGATTTGAAGTGAATACCCACATTTAACTAATAACGCATTTTCAGACAGGAAGCAAATGCAGGGTGCAAGGCATACTCAATAAGCTGTATTGAACCGATAGATTAGCTGTGTAGGAAAATGAAGCTATGTCTTCATCTCACATGATTTTATAAATTAATTCTAGATGAAGCAGCCTGTTACCAAAAACAAAAGGAAAATCTGTGTAGAAAGTTTATGAGCTGAAATGGCTGTGGGCTCACTTGAAAGGAAAGTGTTGGTAGATGTGTCTGTGGTAAAGGATGAAAGCATGCAACTTGTTTTAGCCTTTTGGGAAGACCTGGTGAGATGAATGCTACTAAATTCTCTACACATTGCAAAGCAGATGCACCTCAAACCACATATATGAGGAGAATCTTTTTGTTTGGTGGTTCCCAACTCAACATCTCATTAGCTCAGTTTTTATCTCTGACTTATGTGGTGATTGTGTCTCATACTGTTGGTAGGAGCTCAACTTCACAATTCGACATGATTGGCTAATCCTTGCAAAGGGGGAAGGGAAGGTTCAGGAACTATGATTAAAAAACAAAACAGTTTCTCACACTGGTGCAATGCTTCAGTCTGGGAGACTATCACCTCTCAGAGTCGGGCCACAGATTCAAGTCTTTCTTATGTTGTACTGATTCTCATTACATTTTATTTTTTAATCCATTGAGGTAAAGGATAAACAGATGCACATTTTGGGTTAGAAGACTAAAGTGTTAGAACTTGATAATGCTAGTATTTCTAGCATGTAGAGAAATGGAAAGTTAGTTACCATAAAAGCACAGTGGAGTTTTATTATTTAAAAAAAGCTACCAACTGATGGTAAGACCCTATTGCTGAAGACAACAGTTACATATCTCATTGAACACGGAGAAGCTGAGCTGGTGCCTAACTCAGTCTTCACTCCTACAGACTGATGATGATCATGGCACTGGAAGACACTCTGCATGCTATCAGAGGAGAATGCTAACGACCAACCCAATCAAAACCTCTTCAGTCTACAGCGGTGACCTGCCTGAATATGCTGCTGCAATAGTGACACAAAGGTAGTATGTGTAACCAATCACCCTTTGATAGGATGTAAGGCCCACCCCATGAAATGGAGCCCATGCCTGACACTGCTTGGGACTGGATAGGCCTTGGACCTAGGGGATAGCCAAGTAACTATTCTGCTAAAGGAACATAGCAATAAAATGACTCCAAATGACATTTTGCTGCATCAGTGTCTTGCTCAGCCATCATCAAAGAGGCTTCCTTCTGCAGTAGATGGGGATTAATACAGTCCACAACTGGACAGTGTTCAGAGTGACAGACTTTGGGACAGTCAGTCCTCCATTGGATGTCTTACTCAAACCCTTCCCTTCAAGGCTCAGGGATCTCTGTGGAAAAGGAGGTGGAAAGATCGTAAGAGCTGGCAGGGATGGAAGACACCAAGAAAACATTATCTTTCAAGCAAAATAGGCCAGGTGGGGTCCTAGGGCAGAGAGGGGGAAGTGGGCATGAGCTCCCACCCCTATCCAAGAAGCTATCTCCAATTGACAACTGCTTATAAAGGAAAATTTAGTTTTCTCCAATAAACTCTGAATAAAACCACACTTAAGATATATAATAAACCATACAATGTACCTGGTAGTAGGTGGCCAACAAAAATTGTATTTTTGTAATTTTTAAAAAGTCTTATATTGCTTTGTTTGGGCATTTTAAAAAATCTTGCTGGTCTTTTGCACATATATTATGGTTTCCAATTTTCTGTTTGTGTGTGTGTGTGTGTTTCTTGTGTTTTGCTCTATTTTGTTTTTTTTTTTAATTCTAGTTTGTTTTTCTTATTTGCCTGTTTTGTTTTTTAAAGAGAGAGAGAAAGAAGTTGTGAAGTTGAATATGTGTGTGGAAGGGGAGGATCTGGAATGAGATGGGGGAAGGGAAACTGTCATGAGAATATATTATATGAAAAATTATTTTTAATAAGATAATAAAAGTCACCAATTTCTAATAATTTCAGCCCTTATTTGGTGATTAGGTTATGCCAAAAACTTAACTATTATTGAAATTGAGATTGTGCCCAGCTTCAGTGATTCAGCTTGGTCCTATTTCTACATATGCCTTCAAGATGGATTTATGTAGAATTAAAGGTGGTGGCTGCCAGCTGAGGAGGCAGCTTCCACAATGAGGACCTAATTGAAGACTGCCTGAGAGCCTAAAGATTAGTGACACAGACAATGTCAGCCAATCGGGAGAACTGCCACTTGGAAGATATGCTTATTGGGACCAATAGGACACGGGTGGAGGGCATAAAGGGCGCCCCTGAGGATTAATAAAGGAGCTTGTGGCAGCATTCTTCTGAGCTTGTTCTCACGACACCACAACATCCCCAACCCCCAAGGTCGAGTATGGTCAGGCAGCGGGCGGTCCAGGGCTTACAGCAACAGATTTAGAGTCTGGAGAGGAATAATGGGAGTAAAAACATTGTGCCTTTTATTGCATTTCTCTCTTTTGCAACGAAGGATAAGGAATGGGCGGGGGAGACACAAGTTGATGTTGGTTTATATTGGTTAGGACAGACCAGGCTGAGAAAAGTTTACAAATTAGTGAAGTTGGCCAAGTAGACATGATGCTGCAATGAGGAGCATGTAGTGTCTGCAGGCACGAGCATCTTGTTACCTTTGCAAAGGTGCTCTGTGGCTCACCAGACTCAGCAAACAAAGCATCACTGACTTGAGCATATAAAAAGCAAACTATAGAACACACAGCTGGGCCCAAATGCATCCTAACATCATACCATCCTTCAGGCCTTTTGGGTAGCTTATTCAACAGTGGGGAGGGGACTTCTTATGTGCCTGTGGCTTGGTGTCGTTTTAATGTTTGGAGGGATTATTTCTGGAGACTGCTTCCAAAGAACTCCGGTAATCAGGTTTGCTGTGCACCTCTTTTCTTTCTGATTCTGACCAGTGAGGAACACACACATAGGGATAATAGCCACAGAGCAAAGTCCCACTTTTTTTTTTTTTCATGGCTAGACAAGCTCCTGAAAGGAGCAAACTCCAAGAAAGGCTGGAGTTGAGAATGTGAGTCCGGCCTGAATTTGAATTTCAGGCTTCTTCCTGCTAGCCCAAACCTGTCCTGAGATTCACGTTCTCATCTGTTGGAGGATGACTAGCTGAATAACCTGGTCTCGGAACATCTAAAGCCATCTATCTAGCCTTGTGATCACCAGGTCCACAGTCTGCCTTCCTCACCAATTTGTAGGTAGAACAAGAAGAATGATAGCTTTCCTACCCAGGGGGCCTGTCCTGGAAGCAGCATTAGGAGAATGGTCTTTGATACTGAGAAAATGGTACTTGCAGTAATGTTGGCACAAGTGTGAGCTCTCAGCCTTGGGGTGATCTGTCTCCTTGGAGGAGTGGGAGTAAAGGCACCAGAAAGACCAGAAACATCCCTTCAACATTCCCAAGAGAGAAAAGAGCAGTCACAGGGTCCTTGTCCTAGCTAGTTTCTGTGTCAGCTTTCCGTAAGTTAGAGGATTTGGGAAGAAGGACCCCAATTGAGAAAATAATTCCATCCAGATTGTTGTGGAGGCATCTTCTTGATTAATGGTCAATATGAGAGGACCCAGCTCACCTAGTGTGGTGCCATCCCTGGGCAGGTGGTTCTAAGTGGTATTGGTAAAGCAAGCTGAGTAGTCAGTCAGTCCGTGGACGACAAGCTGGGGAGAGACACTTCTCCATGGAAAAAGATCTTAGGACTGCAGAACTCCTGACAACCGGCAAGTGAACCCACGAAGCAAATCCGGTAAGGCAGCACCTGTGCTGACCACGCAGATTCGATAATTAGACGTGTGGAAAAGCCAGCTGCGCAGCCGCAGTTTAGGGAGTGCTTGCTCCCTCCACCAGAGTGGAGGTGAGGTCTTTCAACACAGAGGAAAACAAACAGGAGCAGGAGGTGTGTGGGGCTGCAAAGTGGTGGCTGCTTGGCTTGTGCAAATCCAGTTTCGGTCCTGAAGCCGCACTGGTGAGAGACCCAAGCTTTTCCTAGTGTGAGTTTTTTTTCTTTTGTATTTCATATTGGAACACACTATGACAACGTAAAACAACAATATGACCAACACCAAAACGTGAATGAATTTGGGTTCAAGCGATGTCAGGCTGAACTGGCTCTGTAGGAGGCACTTAGAGGGTAGGACAAAAGTAGCTCCCAGTTATGGTTTTTGTGCATATCAGTGACTCTCGGATGAGGAGTGCTGGCTTGTAAAGATCTGTGTTAACGATGTCGATCTTACTGAGTGCCCTGCTTGGCATCCCAGTGGATTTGCAAGCTCTGTCTGTACACAACACTAAATCCAGAGGGATATTTTATCCCTTATGTGGCCAGAAAAACTAGGTCAAAGTTTAACGTAGGATTTAGGAGATCAGAGTCTATGTAAAGCCTTCCTGATCTGTGTCGATTCGATTCTCCCAGAGAATTAGATCATTTAAAGACTCGCAGATTCGAAGATTCGTTGGAGGTTGTAAGGAAGTGCCAGATGTTATTACGATGGAATGTTGCCCAAAGAGAAGCCGGATGGACATTCTCAGTGATCACTTTCCTCTGCATGGGGGTTTCTGGCAAGAGTCAGACATTTGAGTGGAAGGAAGCACAGCCAGTGAGCTCCAGCAATCTGGCCCTCCTTCCACCAGAATTTCTAGGAATTTACTGTCATGTGAACACATTAGCTTTGAAATGAATGTGATGTCATGTGTTATATTTTGGGGTTCATTGGGAATGGTTGGGCCATTATATCTACACTGATCAGGGTTTTGAGTAAGACTCTTCTACTGATGTCTGGCTGAAAAGATCCAGCTAAAGATGCTGTCAGACAGTGCTAGATAGCATCCAAGTGGAACAGTTGCAGGCAACAGCAAGTCTCCTCATAGCCAGTTGGTACTGGTTAGGTCTGATATACATACATACGTGTGTGTGTGTGTGTGTGTGTGTGTGTGTGTGTGTTGCACATACACTTGAGAGTTCACATAGGTTCCATGGCACACATGTAATTGTAATGCCAAGGAAGTGTTAGTGAACCTGAAAGACCAGTTAGGAGCGGATCTGTTGTAATCACACAAGGGCATTTACTCAAGCTGGAGCTTGGGCTCAGCCCACTGCTGACGTGCAGGATGGTTTTGGTGGAGAAGAGCCCCAAACACTTATTGGGGCAATGTTTTACAGAAAGTAGCAAGCAAGGAGTGTTCTAGCCTGACAAGCAGCTATTTGGAGTGCTGCTATGGCCTTTACTGTAATTGGCTGGTGTTGGGAGTCAAACCATAAACTTAACTTCTGCTTCCCTCTTCATTGGCGGTTGTTAGGCAGAGGGCAGGCTTGTTGGGGATTAACCTGGAAATGCTGGATTTGTTGGGGGAGATTAACCTGGAGATGCAGGTCTTGGAGGAATAACCTGAAGAAGTAGGTCTTGTTGGTGGGTAACTTGGAAACTAATGCTAGATACTGGCCTGTTATTTTACCTGAGTTCAAACTTAAGTCAGGTTCTCTAAAATTGAGTGTGAACTTAAAAGATATGGTCTCTCATTCCCCCCTTTCTCTGGTAACTGGACAGCCCAATCATGAGGCTTCCTGAATCTTCATGAAAACAGCTAGTATCAGGGCTGTCTTTGCAGTGTCTCTGGGGTATGGGTAGGGGCCCATCAGTGGGAGACAGGTGGGAGTCTTGAGGCTGAATTCTCCTCCTGCTGGCCAGGGTCTTCAACTACAAACGAATGTGTGTGGATCCATGCTGCAACTCTCTAGCATAGGAACCTTTTCAGCGAGGCTCTAGTGACTCCTAGCAGTGTCTCTTGACTAGGATCCAATCTCTGGGCTAAAGTTGGTAGGGCTCTGGAGGTGGATCTGTTTTATAGAAAGCACAAAGTTTAGGCCAAACACATTTGTGTATTCATTGGACACCCTCAGAATTGTTCAATAATTGGCGATTGTCTGCTTCTGCACTAACCTCTGTCAGTAGGTGAATCAAACATAATTTAAAAGGGGTGAGTCTCATCTGGTATGGGGAGAGTTCCTTACCTTATAAAGGGTAAAGGGGAGAAGAGTTACCCAGTCACCGTCAGTCTCCCAGGTCAACTTAGTTAAGGTCTCTTTTGGGGTTTTATTTATCCTTTCTACCTGTTCTGAACTCTGGGGTCTCTAAGCACAATGAAGTTCCCAGTCAATCTCCAGAATATTAG